GAAAGCCGCTGAGACAAGGCAACGATGAAGTACTCCGAGAGAAGCCGAGATCAGCTATGAAACATCTGAGAAACCGTTTTCGAACTTTCTCCCCAGCATAAATGAACGAAAGAGTGTATCCATACGTTCTTGAAAGCAGTTGCACTAGAAATAATCACTGCAAAATACCCTGGGCAAGAATGGATTCGTATGTATACAGATGGGTCAGCTATCAGCCAGAACAGTGGTGCTGGCTTTTACCCTCTCCATGTCAAAGGAACTTTCCCTGTTGGCAAATCGGTGACAAACTTCGACGGGGAGGTAATGGGTATAAGGGAGGCACCAAGTGCCCTTTAACACCTCGACATCAAACGAAGATAGTCTTCCTCTCGGACTCAATGGCTGCAGTACAAACAAATCGTCAGGGCAGAACCCCCTGAAGTATTTTGTTAGGATGATTATTTAATCGCAGTCGATTTCCATTGTAAGTGTTTCATTCTCAGTGTTGGATCTATCGGAACTTCGTGTAACCTCGCTTTGCCTTTCTCTCCTTCTTTGCCTTGATAAGGCGAGTTAATATCAGTATTTTGATCAGTGTCATAGGCATAATAAGTTCCATGGACGGGATCACAGGAAAACTCACGCTTCTCAAGTTCTAAGATGAGCTTATTCTTTTTCTGTGTGCTAGTTCAACTTATCTGGCTTAGCCCAATTTCATGATCTCTCGAGGTTCAACAGTAGTGGATGATGTCTGATGAACGATCGCAGTCGTTCATGTTTGATCAAGATTTTGTGGACATGGAGCGATATCCAGGGTTCGTACGTAATCAAAAATCCTTTGGTTTTGGGAAACGATTTTTGGTCCGTAAAAGTCCTTAATTTGAGTCAAAATCAGGAAAGGTCCTTAATTTTACGAGTGCCATTTTGAGTGTTAACATTTTTGAGGAATATTTTTGTGCTAATTCATTCACAATATTTGATGGGTTATCATTTGAATTATTTCCTACTTCTTAATACTGTAGAGACATTAGTTTATTTGGCAGCAGGAGACATGAAAAATGAGCAATGCCCTCACTGGGACTCGAACCACGGACGTCTCTAAAATGCGCCGAGCGTGCTGACCACTACACCACGAAGGTATGCTAAGAAGGCGGGAGAAATACTTTTTATACTCCCCCTTTTAAAGGGCGACTGGGGACTAGGGAACCCAATCACCAAATCCTGGTGGTGGAGAATCATCATCCACCACCGTTTTTAGTTCGGGCGCCACTGTAGAGACATTAAGTATTTTTTAAATGCAGAAGACATGAAAAATGAGCAATGCCCTCGCCGGGACTCGAACCAAGGACCTCTCGAATACTTGGTAAGCGTGCTGACCACGAAGGCATGCTAAGAAAGGCGAGAGAAATACCTTATAATATAAACGGTGTGATTCCCAAATATTTGGGCACTAGGCCCTGTTTGTATTCAAACATTAATATTTCGAAATTATTTCGTTTTTGAGAACGATACATCAAAATAACTTTTCCTTTATGAGATATTTCTTTTATTATGTGGTGCTAAATTTAGCATCAGCTTAATATTTTGGTGATTTCAAGATTTTTTTTTTGTATACAAAATTTTTTATCCGGAAATTGGCGCATTTTCGATTTTTTAAACAAACGTAATGAAATTGATAAATGTCTTTAAAATAATGATAATCTATTAAAATTGTCATTAATAAATAGCATTAAAATAAAACAGTTTTATTTTCTCATGTCATATTTTAAAATGGCAGTACTTTCCATTTTAACGTTTCCCTTTCCCTGAAGAACACTTGGTCGCCCATCCTAAAAGAAGGGGCAGAGAACCCTCTTCTCGCCTCAGCCGGAAGAAGGGAGCGGACTTTGCCCCTGGTTGCAGGTGGGAGTAAGAAGAGATTGAGATGTGGAAGAGAAAAGAGCGGACGCTGGTTTGCGCGCTCTACTGTAGTGAAAATGTATTTTAAAGTTTTTCTAAAATGCAATCTGTACATAGTTGTTTATATAAGCAAATATTTAGCCTAGAAAGGTCTTGTTTATTTGACGAAGTTACGATTATATTACACCATTTTGGCGTCTTGAAAATATTTTGATTCTGAAAAATAAACAAAATAATAAATTCCATAAAAAGCAGTTTACGAAACACTTCTTAACCACAACAACCCCACCCCAAAAAATGCCTAATTATTTAAAAAATAATTTTATCTGCCATCTTTTATATTTTTTCGTAAGAGTCCCCCCTCCCCTCCTCTTGTACTTGTTTCGGAATATTCAGTTGTTTGTCAGTTTTCTTTTAAAAATTCACTTAACACTTTTCTTTTTTGAAAATTTATTCAAAAATCTGGCTTTTTGCTCTTACAGAATAGGATACTTTTTAGACTTGGTGCTTTGGAAGGATTTGAAAGCAAGATTTATAGAAAAATGTGACAAAATGAGAAATGTTTTCTTGGCATTAACATGTAATGAATGAGTTTTTATGGGAAATTTATTATGAATTTTTTATTTTCTGGAGAATTTTTGTCAGAACAGTGAAAACAAGGTGTTTGAATTTTCCTACCTAAAAGAACCTAAAAAGATTTTTCTTTTAACATGTTTTTCTTCACGTTATTTTCTCATCTTTTCACTAGATACAAAGCGGAAAATTACAAAACTGGTTATAATCTTGTCATGTAGATAGTCATCTGTAGAAAAGAAATTTTATATTAATAAAAATATTGAAAACTGACATTTTATAAGATTCTTCTTATATATCTCACTGCACAGTACACAAGGGTAGGCATTTTGCAACCTGGTGCAATCTATCAGTTTTGAATTGGTCCTGAATTGGGTCCTCCCTAGTGTCTATCCTAAATTCTAAAAACTTTGCTCCACCCTAATGTTTAAATTTTGTTGCTAAGTAACTTCTAAAATTCTACCACAACGGTTCTGGCACCCGCCCTGACCTTATATCATTTTACATTTATCCTCTGTACTCGTATTATTAAAAGAAATAAAATTAATGGTGTCTTCTATATGTTCTAAATACATGCACTTCTTTAGAATAACAAAAATTTCCAATTAAATCAGAAATCGCACAAAAGAAGAGGAAACTTATTGAGAAACAATTAGATTACGTAAAGAAGATTATTCTTCAAAGGTATATTGTTAAAGAATTAACAAATTAGGAGAAGCAGCAACTAATGGCAGCATTGATTTGGTTATTGAAACAAATAAACTTTGAAGACAAATTAGGAGAAGAAGCAGAAACTAGTGAGAGCATTGATTTGGTTATTGAAATGAATAAACTTAAAAAAGACACTAAAGAGAAAAATGATATAAATTAGCTAAAATGTCTGGAAAAACCCCAAACATGCATAAATATTTTGTTGTGAGTTGTTGCTGTGAAGCATATATCTTTTATAGATTTTTATGTATAATTATCCTAGTATTGTTTTAAAATGAATATCATAAATTACATGCATAATTATGCTACATATTAGATTATGCTAAATAATATTATATCCTACTTAGAGATGTATTCTTATTTATTTTTAGACTGGTATTACAAAAGTTAAGTTCAGGTATAGGAAATTGCTTCCATTTATTACATTCCTTGTGGCTGATAAGTCTTTATTACATTCCTTGTGATGATAAGTCCTTAAATTTTTTTCATTAATGGTCTTTTAATGTCCTTAATTTCTATATGCAGAAATGTGTATGAACTTGGGATATCAGTTGGAAAGTCCTCGTGCAGCATCGGGAAGTTAAAACAGACAGCAAAAACTTTAGAGCTTTGAACAAATGCATACATTGCGCAGGAACGTGAGTTCTCATATGACACGCTCCAAAATAGTGGATTTGTTAAAAGTGCCCTAAATCAGGCTACTGGTGGAGCACTATGCAAAGAAGAGTAACTTTTTTAATCATTCGCTCTCTTGCAAGATTTAAAACTTGCAGACTCTTTCCTGCTGTCGAAAGTGAAATCTTGTATTTATAGGTAATTATTTTTAGTTTTTTAAAAAAAGAAACCTAACTAGAAAATTGAAGAGTATTCCAATAATTGATTTCAGCAGATTACTTCAGAAACACCCAAATATGTGAAGAAAATTGTAGCAGTACAGGAATTGGATGTAGAAGGTTAAACAGTGACCAAAATCGAGGCTTGGATTAACTATTAAGCAATATACGCAGTTATATTAATCAAAACGGTCCTTAGATATTCAGGAAAGGGGACAAAAAAGTTTCAGTTGCCGGCTCTGCTGTAAAATACGTGGTACAGTTAAACCAAAAAAAAGTTACCATATCATGATATATAAGTAACATATATAAATATGTAGCTTATACAAAATCACAAAGCTGATTGATAATCCTTGTTATATGCTCAATTATTGGGAGATGCTATAATTTATGCAAGTATACTAATGCAGCTGTGCAATCTTTATAATTAGCTCCTAATGTGCTTATTGACAGAGCTGCAAAACAACAATTACAGCAGTGGTTATATATCTAAGGAAAAATATCTTGCAGGGTCATTAGGTTTTCTGATGCTGAAGACATGAAAAATATGCAATGCCTTCACCGGGATTCGAACTCTGGACCTGCTAAATACATCTCAAGGTTATTTCCAGTTACACCCATGAAAGCATATGGAAAGGATGAAGAAAATATCTTATATACTCCCCCTTTCAAAGGGTGATTGGTGAGGGGAACCAGTCACCAAATCCAGTTGAATTATCATCAACTACCTTTTAGTTTGGGTACCACTGTAGAGTCATTAGGTTTTTTGATGCTAGAGATGTGAAAAATGTGCAGTGCCCTGGTCTGTATTCGAACACTGAACCTCCCGAATACATGTCATGTGTGTTTCTAGTTATGCCATGAAGGCATGGAGAAGTTTTACAATTACCTTGTAATCATAAATGTGATTTAATGAGAATTATACATCTACAGTTTTATTTTATTTGGAAAGTAATAATTTTTTCTGTGTTTGTAATCATATTCCCAATTTTCTTTTCTTTCCAGCCACAGTCTCCACGGTATCCACCCAACCATCCCTTAAGTGGATCAAAGCATCTCTGTTCGATTTGTGGAGACCGAGCATCTGGTAAACATTATGGTGTATATAGGTATGTCATTTCCTGCTTTAAATTTCCATAATGCATGCCATTGTAAAATAAACAGTGTTACATGTTCCACTGGCACAGAATATGTCACAGCACAAAATATGTCACAGAATATGTCAAACATTACTCCTAATATTTCTTTCAATCCTCTTCCAAATTCATACATATCAGATCTTGTTTGGCTCAGTTACACGGAAGGATATAAAATAATCATCATCTACTGTGTTGTATTTGTTGCAACAATCAAGTAGTCATATACAACAATTGAGTTTCTGTTTCATCATATTTTGTGCTTTTAAATAATGTTTGAGGTTGGAAACTTATTAAGTAATGGCAAAATGAAATTTCCTTATACAAGTATTCGATGAAAAGAGATGAAAAGATAATAAGTATCTGTTCAGTAGCTAAAAAATAGATATCACAAGAACAATTTTGGTAAAGAAGCTCAAAAGAGAAAATTAGCTACACAAAGGCCAATGTACCTCAACAGATCTAGAAAATGGCATTATTCTGTGGATAAAAAAAGTTATGTCAAATGCAGAGTTTTTGTTTCAAAGGAAGCATGTAAACATTATGTAGCAAAACTTTTAGAAGAAAGGTGTGTATACTTTCTTAGGAGGAGATAATTTTCAAGAAAGATGATTATTTTGAGACATTTTTGTAAGGCAACTTTGATATCAAAATGTAGACAGGCCAAAATTAAATGACAACCATACAGGAAGAGTCACAAAAATTAGAAATAACGGGTTTCTAGAGACTGGCACTTACTTAAAATATAAGAAACTTGAAGTTACTTAACTTAATCCATGGAAGTCTTACTGAATGTGATTTCTTTCTTTTCAAGTCTTAAGACAGAAAAGGATTGTGCTGAAAAAAGGTTAAGAAAATGCATACCATTGCAAGAGTAATGAAACTTTTGATTTGACTGCTCTTTTAGCAACTAGTGCAGTTGTTGAACATGTGTGTTGTAGCTTATAAGAGGGAGCATAGTGAAAATGACTAAATCTTTTGGGAATGTTCAAAGAAGATCAGTTGAACTTGGCGAGAATTCAGTGCACCTGCTGTCATAGGATACTTTCATTGCTCGACTATTCAAAAGTGCACCGTGTCCTTTGAAAAGAACTTTTATTTGGTTAAAAGTGGATGGTAACAAAATAAGGAAACAAGGCCAGAGAAACTTCCTATAGTTGCAACTTCCTCGCAAATACTTTAATATTGTAAGAAGAAACGAGGCATTAAAAATACAAAAGGTTAGAGCAAAAGAGAAAAAAATGGTAAATAAGAAAACTGATATAAAAGTTTATCTGAATCTTCCACCTTCCTTTCATTTGAAACTTCACCCTCTGAAAATGGGGGCAATTCATTTCATTTGGGGAAGAAATTGATTATGTAGGTATGCTATAAATAAGACCTTAAGCATTGGTACAAAAAATTTATCCCGAAAGCAAGTGAATTGCAAAAGGAACAATTTGTATTTACATCATTCTGAAAAGGAAAACAAAATTCACTGAAGTTTAGTGTTCATAAATTAAAAGATTGAATAATAGGTATTCAAGAAATGTTCAAGTCAGTAAGTAATATCAGATAATAATGACTTCATTATAATTTAAAATGGCATATATGACTGTTTCAGATACTGCAGTGGTTCTGCAACTGAAATTCAGAAGAACAGGTTGCCACCTAATATAATATTTTCATTAAAAACTTATGTTTGTCACTTAATGTAATATTTTCACAAGAAACTGATGTTTAAAGTGAAATTAAAACTCTTTCAGCTCTGTAAATTTTCTCTTTTAAGCATTTTTTAAATTACAAACCTTTTTATTATTTTGCTTATGTTTTAAAAATTGTATTAATGATGGTATATATGGCAAAACGTAGCTTAAACGTTTTTATTATCTAATATATTTGGGCGATTTGCTTCAGATAGGCTTATTGGGTCAGAAGTTAAAATATGCCTACTCTTGGAGCATTAAAACCATTTACATAAATTGAACTTTCAGCCCAAGAAACACACACACGTTTTTTTTTAGGTTAAAAGTTCTATTAGTATGCTAAATAGGCCTTAAAACTACTAAAGATCTGAATTTTTTTGTATAAATTCATAGCAGTATGCCTGTATTTAAAAAAAAAACACATATTTACACCAAAATTATTAAAAGTATCAGTGAACATTTATCGAATTCTCTTCAGTATCCTGTTAGTACTATATACTAGTACATTTACCCTATTTTAAGTTCTTTTAATGGAGAAAATAGGTAATATTTATAAACTAAATTTATAAATAAACTGTAATGGAGGGTCTGTATATTGTAAGAAAATGCAGCTTCCAAAAAATTGTTTGACAAATGTGAGCACATTATGAAAGGTTTAAGTAAAATTTTATAGCCATAACATACTAGTGGAAAGTAGTAGTATTTTTTAGTTTTCAGCAGTAATATTCAAGTCAATAGAAAAGTAAATTTACAATTTTCATAAAAGTTCCTGTTCATGTCGCTATAACAGCAATAGAGCTACCATTTAAAGAAAAATTACTACAGTCAAAAGTCATTAATCCGGACTCGTCGGGACTTCGCGATTCCGGATAATCGGTTTTTCCGGATTATAGATCATCAGTTTAAATCTGGTAAGATGGCATGCAGAAATTATAAAATTAAAAATATGAAACCGTAATTTATGAAATAAAGAACAATTATGATCTAAAGGGTATCAAAATTTACAAAAAAAAAAAAAAAAAAAAAAGGCTTAATATTTATTTGTTTACTTTATTAAACATTTCTTTTAATGTAAGTTGTTTAAGTTACTTCGTTTTATGTGATAATACTTTCTCTTTAATTCTATAAACAGACATAATTTCTTGTTCAGTTACAAAGTTCCGCTGTTCAAGTCGCATAAATTGCTATGTCGAGAATACCGACTAATTTATCAATCGAAATTTTTTCGTTTTCAATAACCTCTGTGTCACTTTCTTTACTATCGGGGAATCAACACTTTTATAAAAACGAGGAATTTGATTTATATCATACCAAAAACGGAGTACATCGAGATGAAATACTACGTTTTGTAAGGAATTATAAGCCAAATAAAATAAAAACATCTGCCCTGAAGATAAGGATAGTGCTGACAGATCAACTTCCAATTCATTGTGGCCGCGGCATCCCCCCCCCATCCCCCCCGCAGAGCAGCGTAAAATTGATAAACATATTTCGGAATGGTTAGAGAATCAAAAAATATGCCTTTATCCATTTTTTGCAGCAATTTCACTTTTTGTTTGATGTACTTCGAAACATACTTTCGCTTTGTAGATCCTTTACATATTAGTAAATATATATCGGAAATTCTATTTGACATAATCGAAAGTTCAAGCTTACTTTTATAAAATTGCTCTAACAGTCTGTAAAAAAAAATAAGCCGGATCCAATTCGAAGATTAAGGAACAACGCAATCTGCAACATTAAATGATTTTTAATTTAATGGGAGATAATTTTAACTTAGCTTATACTGTCCATTATACATTAAACGCGCATGCGTAAACGTATTATGTGCATGCGCACACGCATATTCGCAACCGTAAAGGTCTTAACCGTAAAGGCAGAAAGTTTGTAGCTTTGAGGTCCGGATTATGGGTGTCGGAATTAACGACTTTTAACTATATTTTTTAGTACGAGTTTTTTTTTAAATCTGTTAATTTTTTTATAATTGATCAAACGTATTATTCGGTTTTTTTTTTAATCATTCACACCTCTGGTTTCAACATTCTGCTGTTGAAATAAGTTATTGCTAGAACTGCCATAGTTTCAGCTTATATTTTAGTACGCACACAACAAAAGCCAGCTCACGCATGTGCATATTGCACATGTATTTGTGTATACATGGATTTTCACACTTTATATTTAATTGCTGTTTCATTGATCTGCAGCTAAACAGTAGCCACCAGTTATAAAAATATAATTATTGATCATATAGACTTTTTTTTCTGTCATGTTCTTAAAATATACAGGATGTCCCACTCGAAAGATTCCCTGGGAAAAAGTGTGAGAAAAATCTCACAACAGAAGGAAATGAAACCACATTTTTATATAACATACTTTTATGTTTGAGAAATGAAAGTGCATTAGAAGCGGTGCTGGCAAACCTGTATATGCAGTTCAACATGGTGTTGCATTTTCATGTATTTTGCTCCCAGATTACACATGGTGGAGTGATGAAGTGTGACACCACTTGTCAGGATATGTGAACTAACGAAACACATGTTTAGGGAGTAGTGATAACCAGCATGCAGCTATTGAGGAACCCTTTCATTCACACAAGATGGGTGTCTTTTGTGCATTACCACAGCGGCGCATCATCAGGCCAATTGTTTTACATTATTGTCACCAGTCAAGTGTACCAGGCACTTTTTCATGAATTTGGGAACTAGTTGGATGATGAGGAGCTTGGCTTACCAGCAAGATGGAGCAACATGCCACACATCTCTAGTGAATATGAGCACAGTGGAATCACTCCTTTTTTCCAGACTTGATCTTCCTTGAGTTTTTCCAATGGTGTCATCTTAAATGTAATGCGTACAAGCACATCGATGATTTGCATCATTAACATTAACACTGGAGTCAGAGCCCTTGCCCTGGAGACTTGAGCCTCCCTTTCAAAGTTTAGAACTGATTCCAGGGGCCATACTGAGAGGGCACCACCCCTCATGGTCGCTGCAGAGGGAGCAAAAATTTCCCTAGAGAATTTCATCGAATTGATACGATGGGCGTTCGTCACGAAGAGATCCACAGGGTTGATCTCAACTCAGACTACTAAAAAAACAACGCTTATTTTCCTGCGAGCGAGGTCACTCCCTCTCACAGTACTAATTAAAAGTTACAAAAGTCAGACATTGCCGTCCCTCCACACCGATCGAGCGGAACCAATCCCCCTCAGACAGCCTTCAATATATGACCCTGTAACATCCCCACAGCCAAGTTTGCAGACAAGACAGTACCATATGGTCCCTGCCAAGCCTGAACCACCACCGAATAAACGGTGGCTCTAGTCTATACTTTGAAGACTGTTTATTTGCTCAAAGAATCGAAGCTGTCTGAACACAAGTCCAGCCAGTTGTCAGGAAGAACCTCGGGTTTCCTCCCACAAGTGGTCGGTTCCAGAAATTCCACCCAGTCGATCTCAAGGGTAATTTGTCTAGCACCATTAGCCTATGCTAGCCGAGGCTGACATAGTTTTCAGCAGGCCCCACGAGGAGGCTGATGCTGAACTGAGGGAAATGAGGCAAGCCTCCATCCCTCAGTGCTTGCACCCTTGAATCATACCCCGGCTCTCCTACCACCAGCAGTCATTTCCGAAGACTTGTCCTCAGGTACGGGCACCGCCCGCCATGATTTGCATCAGAACATCCGTTGTGAAATCCAAGGAGTGATGCCTAATACTTGCAGCAACATTCGCAAACATGCAGCCCCATGTTTAACTGTGTGTACAGGTAGGAGGAGATCACTTCCAGCTCCTCTTCTAATGCACTTTCATTTTTCAAACTCGAAGGTATGTCATATAAAAATTTGGTTTTGTTTCCTTTCGTTATAAGATTTTTATCACACTTTTCGCAGAGCCACTTTCTAGTGAGACAGCCTGCATAAATGCTTCCTTTTATCATTGTTACTTGTAGATGTTAAGTGATTTAAACCTATTTTCAGTTTTTTTTTTAAACTTTTCTTTATAAATATATTTTTCTCTACAGTTGTGAAGGCTGCAAAGGCTTTTTCAAGAGGACAGTACGTAAAGATCTATCTTATGCCTGTCGTGAAGATCGTAACTGTATTATTGATAAGCGACAAAGGAATCGTTGTCAATATTGTCGTTATCAAAAATGTTTAGCTATGGGAATGAAACGGGAAGGTAATTTAAAATTTTTAATTAAGATGGGTTCCTTTTCATAAATTTGTATTTTTTGTAACATATGTAATGAATCATTTGTAAAGATATTTGCATATCATTTAACTCTGGAATGCATATATTGTTAAATAAAGGTAAAAATATATTGATAGTTTTAATTTTTTAAAAATTTTTACTACCAAAAACTAGTTTTAGCTTTTGAATGTAAAATTGTGATTTTTATAATTGTGATATTATCTCATCCACAGACAGGCTTACTGTGGATGTTGCTGGTGTTTCCCTTTCTGTATAACTTTAAAATTATGAAACTAGATCTTGTCTATCACTAGATTTCAAATATTAAATAGGTATGCTTCCATTAAAGCATATAATTCAGTTATGTCATAGAAAGCCTAGTTTATTTCATGAAATAATAGTTAAAGTATGTAATAAACTAATAATTGTACACTTGTTATTTAATACAATAAATAATGAAACTGAATTAAGCAGTACACAAAATGTTATTTATATAAAGACAAAATAAAATGTTTTGTTACAACAAGTATTAGTAAAATAGCACTTAGAGTTGTGTAGAATGTTATATCTAAAGGAAATACATTTTTTGTTGGACTATTGTGTTTTATGTGACCATTTTTTAAATCCGTTACTGGTACCTAACTTTTGATTTGTAGCAACTGACCGGAGTGATTTCTCTGTATTCGAAACTTCTTTGATCTTGATTAGTTATTACTCACAGATGCTGAACTGGGTTGGGGAATATATATTTATGTGGCTGTTTCTTGTTCTCATTTATGAAATCCCTTCTTAGGTTAATTTGATGATAACATTAAAACAGATCTGGCGTCACCTTCTCTGAGAATTTCAGGTACTGGGATATGGTTTGTAAGCTCTACAGTGGCTTCAAAATAAGATTTAGCATTAATTTCATCTTAGCTTCAATTTTTTAACATTCTTTAGGGTTTTGTCTTTTCTTGCAGGTATTCTGTTCTTTAAAACACAGTTTGTTAATCTTTTGTACAGCTTCCAAAACACAGTCTCCCTTAGCTAATACTAATGAGTAGAATGAATTATATTGGAAATTTTATATTTTAATGGGGAGTAGATCGCCATTCTATGAAATAACTAGTTAAAATGTGGAGTTATTAATTTATTACACACTTGAACTGACTTGATCATTTATTTCATGAAATAACTAGGTATTCTTTGAAACAATGGATTCCATACTTTAAAGGCAACAAATACATATAAAATAATGAATAATAAAGCCCTTAAAATATAACATAGAATACAGAATTTCCCAGTTTCCAATGCAAAAATAATTCTCTGAGTTATGTTGGAAAATTATTGGTAACATTGCAGTTGAAATACCTGGTGTTAAGAAAATCATTGCAAGATCCAAATGGCAAATTTTGTGCTTTTATGTATAGTTAATTATGTATTAAGGGGTAATTAGTGGAAGAAATAGCTAAATTTCTTCTCAAGGGGATGATTAACTTTGTGTGATACTTTTGAAAATAATTATATTGTTATGTAAAATCCTCTCTCACTGGGTCCAGATTAAGGCTTATAGAGACCTAAACACTTAAATATTTTGGTGCCCCCCGCATAATGCATTTAAAGTATAATACCAGTTTTTTTCAAATTTCTTCCTTTTCAGCCTTGGTTTAGCTACACCATACATTCCATGATAAAACCAACAACGATAATTTTTTGTGGTGTCCCTTTTCCTCGAGTTTCAAGGACCCTTTTATGGTGTCTCCTATCCTTGATGCCGTAAGCATGGGCTTATTTTGCCTAATGGTTAATCCAGATCTGAATGTTAGTAAGAGGCCAGTGGAAAAGATCACAAAAGGTACTTATAATCCTGAAGTATATTGCATCTATAATAAAAGGAAATGTGTTTTTATTTGGTTCCAATGACAGTGCACTTTTCAAATATTTGTTATCGTAACTTATACCAAAAGGTATCTTTGCAAAACACATTGTCTGATCACACATACACAAGCACAAGTAAATGTGAATGGGAATCGTTTAATGCACATACAACTCATTTTATTGTCATCCATTTGGCATCCTATCATTATCATTTGGGCATCCAATCATCCTATTAGCTATCGTACTATCCTGAAGAAGTTAACTATAACCATTTGGTCTAACCATAAATCATATAATATACATATGTTTAAACATTGCTGTGGAGTTTGATAGTATAAAAAAGTTGACTGGGTCTTCTTAGCGTTCCAGTTGAATAAAACTACGTACCTTGTTTTTTGTTTCTGGGCAGAAAAGTCTGAACTTTTTGTCCTCTTCCCACCCCCTTCCGCACTACTGAATTTTTGCACTGTGATTGACTATTTAATTGTTTCCCATCTGAAGCCAATGATCTGTGCAAATAGATTATCATATTATTTCATCTCAGGAAAAGAAATCTGGATATGATACAACTATATTGTCTCAAAACTATCAGAAGCTCCCAAAAATTCAGGCCATGGAAACATCATATGCATTATTGAAGCTAATCAAGACTTGACTAGAACAAAGCCTGTATTCCATTGCTCAGGATCTAGTTTTCAAGGAAGCTGTATCCTTTCAAGTTTGATTCCGAAAATATGTGTACTTGCATTTACATCGGATTTCAGATCTTTGCAATAAGCAGGGCATGTCTTTCAACCTACAAATCGAAGGCGATTCCAAAATCTGAGGCTTTCCATTCAAGATTATTTCTTTGAATCCCACAGTAACTGTAAATGTGGCATTTTCTGATGGATTCCCCACCCCAAGATTACGTACAAAGTTGATTTTGGCATTTGAAATTATGTTGGACCTAAAGTTTTATGTTGTTCGACCCCCCCTTTTTTTTTCCTGCCTGAATGGGTTTGGTCATAAGCGAAATTAATAAAGTTTTTCTCTAAAAAAAAAAAACAGTGTAAGAAATGACTGAGGAAGATGTTGAACTGTAGCATTCAAATTGATAAAAATAGATAAAATTATGGTAGATTAAAACTATTATCATGCCTAAATATGGTTTGAGCCAAACAATTCTTTACACAGTTTTTTCACATGATGTATAACAACCAGCTATTGCCAACCATCATAGTTATCATGTAAATAAAAGTGGACACTCTGTAGTAAAGTCAAAATGAAGTTTGATTGGTTTAGCAAAGAACAATTTGGAACTCTTAGCCAATGTGGAGGGGAAATTACGATAGAAAAGTTCTTTCAAATATCTGCTTGTCACAGTTAGTAAAGTATATGATACCATTTTAATATAACCATTAGAAAGCTGAAGGATTGAGCATTGTTAACAGACATACTGAGAAACAAATTTCATGGACTTTTCTGAAAAAAAATCATGATGCTGTATAATGTAATGAAAAGTGAAAAAAAATTCTTTTTACCTGAGCCATATTCAATGACTTAAATTTTTTTGCGACACATAACTGAGAGTATGCTTCAAAGTACAACATAGAAATGGCAAACTGTATTATTCTTCTGTTCTTCATGGTGGGAATTGGAAAATCATCTTATAAACGAGAAATCTGTAACTGAGAGATTATTGGATATGTTTTCTTTATTGAATTAGTATTGATAGTGGCATACATATAATCCAGGAGCATTATCTAGGAGTATTTTCTATGTTCCCGATTGCATTGTAAACTCCTTATTTTACAGTCAGTGCATCTTTTAAGAAACTTAAATGACATTATTCTGAATATAGAAAAACTAAACAGGCAGTTGTAAAATGGGGTATTCAAAAGAGGTATAAATATCAAAAAGTAACTTTAGAAAGTGAGTGATATGTCGAGAAAAAGGTAATCCAAATATATAAATATGATTAATGAAATGCAAACTTTGAACCCTAAAAAATATCAGATTGATTTCCACATCAAGAAAATAAGTTCAATCAATATGTATGGAAATTTAGGCTGGTATTTTACGATTTAATGTTTGTAATCAAAGTGTGTTCTTAAATTTCCTCTAGCCTATATTTATTCAGAAAATACTGTTATGGGCAAAACTTATTTTCTTTGGCTTATGCATTAATTTATTGTTAAAACTTTTTCTTTTTGGGGAGGAGGAGATATGCATAATCAACAGTCATTCTATTCAAAATACTGCATTAAAAGAGTGACTTAAATAAATTTTCTTCTTGAAATACTGATTATTTACACATAGAATAAAAGAGTAATTAATAATGTAACTATAATGGCAAATAAAGTGGTTAATGAAATATTGATCAATGTAAGCATTTATTCATTTAGTTTTCGGAAGTTGAATTTCTTATTTTCTAATAAAAATGATGATTGCCTCTTGCATTTGATGCTGAGGAAAAACAGGTAGAATGTGAGCCATTAAGTCATGAACAGGAGCTTTTTGTTTTTTCAAAGTAGTCAAATGTGAAGGTGTCTTTTGTCAAATTCTCACATGTTTTGTTTTAAATTAACCTTTTTGTTTGCCTTTTATGTGTACATTTTGATATGAAAATTACAAATTCTAGAGCAAAATTTTAATTTAAAAGTTAAAATTATTACTTACTACTCTTACTACTTAAAATTTCAGTGAAATTTTTTAATTTTTAATTAAAAATGGAGCTTAAAATTATTAAATTTTTCATGTGAATTTTATGATTTTTGAACTTCTGGGTAATAGAGAACTCTAACAGTAGTTAAAGTTGGTTAAATGTCTTCTTGTCTTGTAGATCTAATTTACTGGCAGAGTCTTTAAATGTAAACATTTATTCTAAAAATTATAAATAAGTACTAAACATTTTTTATATATAAGGAAAAAAAAACATTGTTATTAGGATTTTGAAATTTTAAATGCATTTCATTTCATTCTTATTTTCTTTCATAATTAATTTTGTTATTAACTAAAAAACCAATAAAAAATTTCAAATAAAAGTCTTGCAGTAAAAATTTCGAAGAACTATTTTAAATGTAAAACGTGTATGCATTTTGTACTTAGGGTTGGATAGAAACTTCTTTGGAAGTATATATTCAAACCCTAAACACTGTTGCAAGTATTATAATTTTGGTTGACATAGTTATATGCCGTGCAGCTGTCCAAGAAGAAAGACAGAGAACAAAAGAAAGAAATGAAAATGAAGTGGAAAGTACAAGCAGTTCTCAAAATGATATGTCCATAGATCGTATTCTAGAAGCAGAACTGAGAGTTGAACCAAAAACTGAAGATATAGATGCCAGTGTAAGTATTATATTGAATAACTGTGAATATTTATTCATTATATGCATGATGTATGGATTGTTTTATCAGTAGGATGCCTATATTTAAGAATATTCATTATATATGTATTCAAAATAAAGTAATTAAATGTAAATTAAATGAATTATATATATATATATTTACAGAAGAAAGGAGGTTTGAAACCTAGTAAAAATCGTTAAAAACATTTGTAGTTTCCTATCAAAATTCCAGAAACACTATGTAATATGAGTGATAAAGTAAATTTTAAAATATTTAAAAAAACCCTATCCAAACTACGGAAAAATGAAAAATATGTACAATTTTTTTTTGTTCTTAATCTCTGTTCAAAGCTTCAAACATTTAATGGAATTACTCATTTATTGCGAACAGGCTAGGCAAAAATTCACATTATGTGACATTAATGTCTAAAATCCTCTAGGTGAAGTGCATTGGTGATACAGATAAATGCTAAGTGATGTAGATAAATGTAATCCATTTTCAACAAAACACATCTCTAGTACAAGTAGCTTTTAGGCATAGCACAATCCATACATAGGCAGTCATCTATGGCACCATCTAAATTGTTCTGTCGACCGACAACTATAGAAAGACACATTTTGCTTTGAATTGTTAATTAGTTTATATGGAGTACCAACGATACTTATTGCATAGGTTGCCAAAAATGCTGCAGCCAGAGTTCCAGCCAGAGAGCCAGAGCTCTGGATTGTTCCTGAGAATATCTATAATGTAAAGTTATTAGGTAACTGTAATCTCAATGAAAAGCACATTTATGATGCTAATAATAAATAGCATTATAGTGGCAGTTATGTGACAATAATAAAACAGTGTAATAATTTAATATTAATAATACTCTTGTATTGCAGTAAGATACAGAAAATATTGTGTTTGTTCTTTTAATTCAGACAAGTATTATATAAATCAAATAAATAAATAAAATTATAATTAATGAATAATTAAAGTTTTAAATATAACAAAATAAAATATTAAATCATAAAAATTAAATGAAATAATGAAACAGGGCCCACCAGCAGCTGAGTGGTAAAGTCGCTGAACACTGGTAGTTTGGTCCGAGGTTCGAATCCCGTAAATGGGCTTGCTGCCATGGGTATTCTCATGGTTTTCTCCATTTTTCCCATGGTTTGTGTAATATGTATACCGGCCAATTTCCCTTAGAAAGTCCTCCATGAAGGCATCCCTTCTTATAAGCACATGCCCTTGAGACTTTGCCATAATCACATAAGCCAAACTGAAATAATGAAACAAGTGAATGAAAGAAACGATAGGCTACATGAAAGATAATTCTTTTAAACAGCATTTGTTATGGTTAAATGAAATTGCTTCTTTATTTCAACTTCTATTTAAAGCTACCTTAACTGGATAAGTACAGCTTGCAAGTACAGTAGATTCTCGCAAACTTGATTTCTGATTACTTGCCATTCCATGTAAATTGATTATCACTTTTTTAAATCACTTATTATCTTCTGGTCAAGCAGAGCATTATCATCAAAATAACGTATTGATCTGGTTATAATTTTTAATATTGTCTGTTAAATGCAAGCAGTATATGTACATTTTAATTTGTGTTGTAATTATGAGAGTGAATCAAATATAAACGAGCATTTTGCTTAAACAAAATTTATTTTATAGGAAACATATATGTTTCTACAAATTATTTTTCTAAATAATCTCCTCATTTTATTCCGTTCTTGCAGACTGAAGTTAAACAGGTATATAACCAGTTGCACACAAATGTTTCTACTTGATTATGTGTCTCAAATCGCTTGCTTCCAAGTTCTTCTTTGAAGTGTCCAAACATGTAAAAATCCCATGGGGATGATTTATTTATTTATTTTAATTCCACCTGCTCACCTATTTTAATTCACCTCTCAATGGGCACTACAGGTCAGTCATGTTATCCCGATCGTTGCACCAGCAACCTTTTTCTGGTTGTTTATCTTTTCAACCTTATTATTAATAAACAGATTTAACATTAATGTATTATTTTTGTTGGGTGCTCCAACTTAGTGTTTTGGGTATGTTAGTAGAAAATTAGAAAAAAAGGGCTAGTTTACAGATATTTACATATATACACATGAATGAAAGCTTGTTGCTTGTATGTTTCGTCAGGTGCATAGACCTGGTTATCTGCTATATAACCAGATCTAGTGGAGCCTAGTCTTATATGGTGATAAGTCTGGACTTAAAGGTGGATGATCAAGCATTTTCCAGTGCATTTCCACCAGTTTCTGCTGTATTACACCTGTCTACTGGGGCTTGGCATTGTGAAGGATCAACTCCTAGTAAATGGGACAGTCTCTTCTTTTGCATTGATACTGAAGCCTAACTTGATCTAAGAGACTGTGGTAGTAGTAGGTTGTGTTGATGGTCTCATGTCTGTGTAAGAAATTGACCAGTAGGACCCCTACAGTCTCAAAAAACCATAGCCAACACTTTCCTCGCCCAAATAAAATTTTGGCTTTCATAGGGTTTCCTTCATCATTTCTTCTGCATTCCATCCCTCCACCCTTTGACTGGGGAAGAGGGTGTAATGATGCACCCAGGTCTTGTCACATGTGACAATTTTATGCAAAAAAAGCTTCCCCTTCTTCTTCAAAACGAGTTTGAAGCAATTGAGAAATGCGAACTCGTGCAGCTTTTTTATCATCATTCAGCAAGTTTGGAGCCCAATGAGCTGAGATTTTTTTTCTGAAGCCCAATTGCTTTCTGATGACTGATTGGACACTTCCATAGCTGGCACCAAGTTCTTTTGATATTTCAAGCACTGTGTAGCATTAATTCCGTCCGATAAACTAACAAACATGTGCAATGTTTTCATTAGTCATACTGGTGCAAAGATGATGTGGATGGCTTTGGTTTGCAACATGTTCATGACTTGAATTTATTGCACCAAACCTTCACTCTTAACCATGAAGGGGTAGCTTCCCTGAAATAGGCATGCATTCAGCAGTAAATTTTGGCTGGTTTCACATTTTCACAGATGAGGAACTTTATGCATTGCTCTACAGAGAGGGGCACACTTCTCTCACTCATTGTAAGGGCTACTAAATAAAGCAAGGGGCAAGCTGGCTGGTGTGGTTTCCTTATTCTCAGCAACCTCATCTAACAGTTTCAACTGCAAATAACCATCCAAACTCTCAGCCAATAAAGGCTCGTTCATATTTGATTGCTTACATACACTACAGATTTATGTGTAGAATCTGCATGGCTTCCTGTTCTGTTAAATATCTGTTCTGGTACTCTCTCTCTTTTCTTTCATGACAATAATTCTTGGAACTGTGTTAAGAATTTAGTAAGAGGTTTTGTGCCTTTTCATGGAAATTCTAATCTACCACATTCCCTCTCTCCGTCAGATTCATTCTGAGTACAATTTCTCTGTTTACATCTAGGCTTACAAGTGTTATGTTGTATTATCTATGCAAGTGGAAATGTTCAACAAGAAGGAAATGAAATTGAATGTCTTAAAGAGACTGAACAGTATTAATAAAACTGCCATGGAATTTAGGTGCTAGACGAGCTACTTAAAAATAGGATTGGGGGGAAAAAAGGTTCTGAGATTAAAGCTTTTTTGTATATGAAAAGAGAAAAAGAATATGTAGTTTATTGGAAAGCAAAGTTTGAAAGTTGGCAAATGCAAGAAAGTAAGTGAAGTGCTTTCTTTATTTGTGATTTAGGCAACTAAAAGGGAACGGAACACTTGTTTAAGGAAATTTATTTAGAGAAAGTTCTCAAATTCTATGAGGAATTTTAATACTTGCAGGAAATCAAAGCTGTCCTTTTTGAAAGGGTAGTCTGGAAGTTCAGGCGATCTGTCTTTGTTTGTAATTTCTCTAGAAGCAAATTTTGGAAATAATCGATTCTCTTGCAAAAACTAAAAGAAATAATAAAATAAACATAAAAAGCAAGCATGTAATGAGTCTGGATTAAGATGGAAAGATGCCGTACGTAGACCATAAATGTGAACAGAAACCCTGAAGTGCAGACCCTTTGATGCCCAATAAACACTTCACTAATGGCATTGCAAAATGTAAAGTCATGAAAGGAAATTCATCTCCAAATCAGTGAGAATATATGGTGATGATACTATGCAAACAGAAAATGTACATCATTCCTCTTCAGGAAGTATAATTTGGCAGTTAGGGAAAGTTTATCAGACAGTATGTGGACATGTCCACGCACAACAAGTTATTCCAACAAGAAGTGCTACAAGATGGTTCTCTTGTCCAGGTAGTGCATTCTTTGGGCAAGCAAGAAAATATTCTTTCCATTTCACTAATTTCAGATTATGCATCTGCGACTTCTATCATTAATGTCATCCACAGGCTTAGGAAAATGGGGCAGTACTTAGTTTTTCAGTTCAGGTAGGTGGACTCTTGCAGGTGTGCATGTTCAGCCAGTAGATGCCCTGATTTATGCATTAGCCCAACTAAATTAGATTACGAAAGATGTTAGTACCTGCATGGGGTCATGTATGTAAATTTTGCATAAATTGAGAGCTCACCTGTATGATACAACATCAGCATGAGGTTACTGCTGAGATATTATCAGAAACTGGCATGACTAGTACAACTTCATGATAAATGCACTGTATGTACAGAAAGATTTAGTGACTAATATTAGAGACAAAACTGGATCACATTGTTTAATTAAACTAATACAACACTACTGAACAGTTGCAAACCCCTCATGACAAAAAGAGATTCTTCATCATTTACCGTGGTCCCTCATCATCTGTTCAGGGATTTAGATCACTTGCCTCGTAGGATGTGTTCTATGATTTAACCTTACCTGGACAAATATGTTTGAAGCTGCTGTAAACCATAGTACTTGATTACCTGGTAAATGACATATTGTTTTCTACCTGCTTTTAGTGTGATTCCAGTGTGATAGATTCCCACCATATTAGCTGGCAACCATGAAAAGCTTTTTTGTGAGATAATATTGGATATGGAGGTATTGTGGAATGGCCACTGAAGTCACTTGACTTAATCCCATTGGACTTCTCGTGCAGTTACAGGAAGGATTTGGTATACAGCTTGCCATGTCATGATGTTAACAACCTACAAATGTACATTATCCTGACATGCAGTAACATATTGGAGATCAAGAAGACGTTCTAGCTCCCGATCAGAGCTGGATTAACTGTTAAGTAATGGCAAATAAGCGCGCGGTTAGGGCATCAGAGAAAAGGACTCAAGGAAAGTAGGCACGCAAAAATACCTCGTTACCAGTTTAACTATAGCATTATTGCATATGATGCACCTAAACCAAGACAGAAAGAGTAGGAATGGGAGAGAAGGCATTAATTATACTGTAAATGTATGTGCTGCAACAAGATATTTCAGTCATTAAGGCCTCTTAAATTCTTGATCTCCAGCCTATGGTGGACACATCGAATATAATTATTAATATTGATATTTCATATTTCTAGAAATCATTTTGTGTTTTTCTACTTTATAATGCCCTGCTGCTGCTCTGTAAATTTCTTACTAGAGTAAATTATACCTTGCTTGTCTATGTTAGTTTTATTGGTACATTTGCATCCGCTTTGTAGTATGACAGACACGATTAATGACAGATTTATGCGGCTGATTGAATATCAGCAGATCTGTGTTTTAGAGCTTCTGTTCAGGTTATTGGTATATATGGGGCATCATTTCATGATAAACAGGTGATGCTGTACACATTTATTACTGATTTTGTTTTGCTTTCTTTTACAGCTTTCGTGATAGGATCTTTTAATTTCCAAAATTCATTTCTAGAAGTGCTGCAATCAGTCTGATAGTATAGAACTTAACTGCTTTTGTGTAGGTGAACACAATTCTAGCTTTCTGTATTTAAAAGTTATTTCAGTGTTTAAGAATTTCGCTGTACACCCTGTATGTATATTTCATGAATAAGAGTCAGATTAAGAATGATTCTAATGAATCAGATGCTATAATTGTTGGTTTTTTTCCATGGGTTAATTAATGAGAATATATTGTACATTTTAGTGGCTTATCATAATGCAGTTTCAGATTGATCCAGTAGGTCCTGTTCATCAGCTGGAGCCGAGCAGTACAATTACTGAACATAGGAAGTTCAATCCGTGTTCTAATTCTGGCAAATGGGGCTGGATGCATGGAAGTTTTTGTGGTTTTCTTTGTATGCAACTTCAATATACGCCAGGTTTCCTCAAAAAGGTCCTCCACTAATGTGTATCTCACCCTTAGTCAGGCAGTCCTAGAGTGCTTTGGCATAACCTAAATAATCCAATCTTCAGTCATCCCCCATCTTAAAACAAAGTTCATTCATTCTTTGTACAGGGTAATTTCTTTTGCATTATACAAATATACTTTATTGCTAATATCCTTATATGTGTTGTCTTTGTATTAAGCATAAATGAATCTCTTCACATTTAAGAAATGAACCATGTATAGCACAAAATCCAGAATCATCGGGACTTCGTCAGTTCCAGAAATTTCTGGATTTTAGATCATCAGTGAGATAGATCATCTAGTGAGATGAGATGTAGACATGGTAACATTTAGATTTGGTGTATTGTTTAGGTAAGATAGAAAATGTTAATTTGCCGTAGGACCATCACCATAGCAGCCTTATCAGATTTCAGAATTTAAGGGTCACCAGAACTTTAGAATTTAGAGGATCATCAAGCAGCAAAAATTAAGGAGAATTTAGTAGCGCTGGGCAGTAAAATTTAGGAAGGTACTGAGCAGCAGAATTTAGGACATACAGAGATTGCACCAGGTGGTAAAATGCATAGCATCAGCTCTCCCTCCCCATAACCACTTAAGGGCCAAAAGTGTGATCCTGGCAAATATCAATCACCATTTATTAATTCACTGTTATTGGATCGTGGTGTGACTCCCTAGTTAGCAAATGTTTTAAAGTTGCAGGCAGAAGTCTGAATCAGTCTAGAGAAAAATCGCATTTAGGGCACACATGCTTTCTTTTGTTATATTCTCTGTTCCTAGACCTTGTGGGTTTTTTTATTTCATTTTATTTACTTTGCTTTTTAATTTTTTAACAGCCGGATATTAGATCATTCTGGATACTGGACGTTAAAGCTTTTTTAGACTCGTATACATATCTATTAAATGTGCCTAATTTTTTTTTTGTGTGTGGGGAGAAGGTGGATAAATTATGTTATGCAGTCAAAAGTCGTTAATTCGGACACCCATAATCCGGAATGATCTATAATCCGGACCTCAAAGCTACAAACTTTCTGCGCATGCGTCGCGTTCACGCATGCGCACAGGCGTTTACGAGAGCGCGTAAGACCCTTACGGCTGCGAATATGTTTGTGCGCATGCGCGTTTAAATTGTAACGGAGTTATACGCTAAGCTAAAGTTATCTAATTCAGTTAATGTTGCTGATTGCGTTGTTCCTTAATCTTCGAATTGGATCCGGCTTATTATTTTTTGCAGACTGTTAGAGCAATTTTATAAAAGTAAGCTTGAACTTTCGATTATGTCAAATAGAATTTCCGATATATATTTACTACAAAGCGAAAGTATGTTTTGAAATCCGAAATCTGTTTATCAATTTCACGCTGCTCTGCGGCAGAGGGGGGGGGGGGCAGAAACGTCATTATTAGATTATGATAGATTAGAAAGATTATGTCAAATAGAATTTCCAATTTCCGATATATATTTACTAATATGTAATTTGTATCTACAAAGCGAAAGTATGTTTTGAGATCCGAAATCTATTTATCAATTTCACGCGGCGGATTGGAAGTTGATCTGTCAGCACTATCCTTATCTTCAGGGCAGATGTTTTTATTTTCTTTGGTTTATAATTCCATACTAAGTGTAGTATTTCATTCTGTCTTTGATATGATTTAAATCAAGTTCCTCGTCATTATAATTCGCTTCCGATAGTGAAGAAAGTGACCCAGAGGTTATTGAAAACGAAAACATTTCGATTGACAAATTAGTCCGTATTCTCAACACAGCAATTATAGGACTTGAGCAGCGGAACTTTGTAACTAAACAAGAAATTATGTCTGTTTAATAGAATTAAAGAGAAAGTATTATCACATGAAACGAAGCAACTTACATTGAAGGAAATGTTTAATAAAGTAAACAAATAAATATTAAGCTTTTTCTTTTTGTAAATTTTGATACCCTTTAGATCATAATTCTTTATTTCATAAATTACGGTTTCATATTTTTAATTTTGTAATTTCTGCATGCCATCTTACCAGATTTAAACTGATGATCTATAATCCGGAAAAATCGATAATCCGGAATCGCCGAAGTCCCGACGAGGCCGGATTAACGACTTTTGACTGTATATATTTTTTTCTTTTTTTCCTTCCAAAATGTGCTTATCTTTTGTATGGTAATCCTTATGTATAGATAGAAGCTGTGAACTATAAAAATTAAAATGAAAAATGTACCCTTATTTTCAGTGGTTTGTTAAACAAGAATGCCCAATGTCACCTCAAAAAGATCCAGTAATTAACATATGTCAGGCAGCTGACAGGCAACTTTATCAGCTTGTGGAATGGGCTAAGCATATCCCGCATTTTACAGAGCTACCTCTTGAAGACCAAATGGTTTTGTTGAAAGCAGGTAATTATAATTCTCATGTAAAAAGTACATCTTACATTTATAGCTTATATATATAATCTAATAATTTGATTTCAGAATCTAGATTTCTGTTGATTTGTACTTGGAAATTTTGTGTCCTGCTTTGTGATTGGTTGAGTATTAATTTAAGATCTAAGTAAATTATATGAGAAGAATTTAATATTATGTGCGTTTTGTTACTTGATTTAATATTTCAAATTCAATTAATGTACTTTCTGCTGTTTTATTATGGTTTTGCAATAATTAATATCAGAGGTAAGCTATGAAAATTTAAAGAAGGGGTCACATGTTATTCTATAAAAATAAAATACAAGATTCTGAGAAAGTATTTTACAGTTTATGAAACAGAAAATAAAAATAATTATTAATAAACAAGAAAAGAATATTAAATTTGAAGGAAATCATTAAAATGTGAAAAAAATGTTAAAAATTTGCAACATATGTGATATGATAATTCCTACATAGTGTCGGATCATCAATGCCAGGTCTTTTAAAAATTCCAAATTTAGAAGTTAGTTTTTTGAAACCTTGTATTTGTGATTCAGTATATAATGATTGCCTTGCATAGCTGGATAATTCTTCCATATAGCAAAAGCCATTCATAAACTATGTCTTGATTCAAACCTAAAGCTGATTTTTAATATTTTAGTACCTAGATCTTTAACATCTTCATTTAATTCTTTCTGATTCAGAGAATATTGGTGGTAAAAAGTATATAATTTATGAAGTAATATCTGAAGATGATTTGTTTCATGAATTTTTCTTTTCAAATCTAGTGCTAATTGTAAACAATATTAAATTACAAATTTTGGAAATTTTTGTAGAAGTTTGATTACAGTTCCAGATTTTCTTCCTAACATTCATCCTAGCTTCATCAGAACAAAGTGCAATTAAATATATTTTTAATAAATCTATATGAATTTAAGCTATTATTATATTCAGCAGTAGTGCTGTTTAACCACAAACTTAAAGAACAGATGGCTAGCAAATAGTACACAAATTTAACCCGGGAGGACGTGCGCTGTATTATGTAACACGAGAACGCGCATGGGGTGTCAACACACCCCAAGCAATTAAATGATGTACAAATTAAACATATTATTACAATGGAGTAAAAGAATGCATTCTATATTAATAACAATATTTATTATATAAAATAGCTTAAAATTAATAACAAATATTTTTTTTAGATGCCTAGCATCATTGATTTCTATTAGAAATGTTTGTTTTTTATTTGTGCATGCAAATATAATCCAAATTATGCAGAATTATTACATGAACAACGAGTTATATAATTAATATTGAAATCAATTAGACCCAAGAAGCATTAGATATTTTGTAATATATATATGAAGCATCTATTTCACAATGCTCTTGACGTATGTTTTTTACTCTTCATACATATAGTTTTTGATTTTCTGTCGTTTTACTTTGAGCACATGTAACATCTCCTGTATTATATATTTTTTTCTTTTTTGTGGTTCATCGAATCATTTTCTGTAAGAAATTCGCCAATTCATAACTGGTATACCAATTGTCTGTGGTAAAGTTTCTTCCAGATTTGTATATTGGAGCTAGGATGCACTTTGCTATTTCACTAGAACTGCTGACTTTCTTGTATGGCCCATCTGGCTGCTGACATGCGTAACTTTCCATGTTGAAAGCGTAGAAGGTTCTAGAATCAACCATAGCATATATCATACCATATCTTGCAGGTTTTTTTTAGGTATATACTGCCGAAAGGAGCATCGTCCTCGAAAAGGTTCTAGCTTTTCGTTCAAAGTCATGTATTCCCCTACATGATATAATTTCTGTCAATTCTTGACAAAATTTTCAAATAAATCTCTTATTGGAGATAATTTTTATCCTTTCCTATAAAATAGTTTGATCACAAGGAATGTCTTTTGAAGAGTCGCACTCTTCTTCTGATTCAGACTCATGATCACTAAATATAGCTTCATTATCTGAATCTTCTAATTCTTCTACAAAACCTTCATTTGACGAAACCACCTCTAATAATTTTTGAAGTCTTTTCATCTCTTTATCACATGTCAAATGAGGAAAAGATCGAACAGAGCGACTTGCACACGCCATGGCTCACACTAAAAAATAGTAACACGAAAGCGCGCGTGGGGTGTTTGCACACCCCAAACTATTATTTAAACAACAATAAATGCTCGGAATTTTCCCTTTCCCTTCTAGACGTATAGAACATGATCTTGAAGGTAGCTACTGATGGACCTAAGCATTTCGGATTATAGGGGGAGATTGGCAGCGAACTTTTTTGAGCGTGCACGCGCGTCTTCCCGGGTTAACAAAGGTTCGTGCAAGATGGTCAGTGCTAGGCACTTTGCTGCCTGATGTAAACTCTGATACCCCTAAATTTTACTGCACATAGATTCTACTGTCCAGTACCTTCCCTAAATTCTAAAAAAGTAACCATTCCTAAATTTTGTTCTTTGGTGCTTCTCTAAATGCAAAGAATTTTGACCCCTTAAATTCGGCCACCCTGTGCAGTTGCACAGGCTCTGGTGTCAGTCCTGCATGCAAGTCCATACTGGTCACAACTAGTTAACACTTTTCATTTTTTAATTATGCATCTGTATGCTGCATTTTATAAATTAGTTCTATAAGCAGAATGTATTATTATTTGTATTTTGTTTGGCTGAATGTAATACTTAATACAGTTTGTATAGTTTTTTTTTTTTTTTTGGTTGTTGTCGTGATATTTTGTTTTGTATAGTTAATTTTTACCCTTAAATCCTGTGGTTTTGAAATTAAATTGCATATTATTATTTTCATTATATGGCTGAACTGCTGATATGCTCGCTTATTTTGTTGAGTAATGGAAATTCATTCATCATCTGCTTTTGCAGCATAAGCTCTGAAACAGTTTTCAGCCCATTTTAATCACTTCTTTATCAGATATTATTCCAATGTTAAGTTGGTTGTCATTAAGTTTAAAAGCATTTTAGTTTTTAGAATGATATACAAGACTTTTGACTCTGGTAATGATAGATTTGTTCAAAACATTTTTTTTTTTAAATGCTGTAAATTGCTTGTATATCAAAGGAAAAGAGAAAAATTCTTGTTTCTCTCTTTCTTGTTAATTAGAAATACGGTAATCATATTTTGTTATTGAAATTAACACCAAAAGGGAATGAATTTCGCTATTTATTGTGTTACGTTTTGTGTATATGTAATTGATGTTTTGTTTTTCAGTGTTTTTATATTCGTTAGCTGTGAAATTTTCTTTAGTTTAAACATAAGTGGAAAATTTTTGCAGAATGTGATGTAGATGCGTAAATTATTACTATTGTTTTCTATCACATATGGATATCATAAAATTTTGTAGTCTTACATATTTTTGGGAACATTTGGGCAGTAGTTTTTATACCAGCATACCAGCAAAAACTGGAATTATATTTTTACTTATTCAGTTTCTGAAATCAGTCTGACATCTTGTTTTGCAGGCTGGAATGAATTATTAATTGCTGCTTTTTCACATCGATCTGTAGCTGTTAAAGATGGTATAGTGTTAGCAACTGGACTAGTTGTTCACAGAAATAGTGCCCATAGTGCAGGAGTTGGTACAATATTTGATAGAGTTCTCTCAGAGTTAGTTGCTAAAATGCGTGAAATGAAAATGGACAAGACAGAACTTGGATGCCTTCGAGCAATTGTGCTCTATAATCCAGGTATAAATTTTTCTTTATTATAATTATGTTACCAATGTGTTAGATTATTTACTTTGTAGCTCTGTATGATATACTTAAAACTGAGCATTGATAAGAGAGTGTGCTAGAACCTGTTGTAGTGTGGCCAACAATCAAGACCTGGATTTCTATTTCTCGGTTAAATAAATTTAATGATATATAAAACTATGTACAGTAAATACATTTAAGAAAACTTTAAAATACATCTTTTCTACAGGTTGGTTGGTTTGGGTTTTTGGCACAAAACCCATAGGGGTATATTGTGCCAAACAAAAGGTTGTGTATTTTCAAAGCTGAAAATAATAAAGACCAAAAACACGTGTACTATTCAGTATATACTTGCAAATAGAAATTTAAGACAAAGTTACTTATAGGTATAAAATAGCTCTAAAGTCTAATAAAACCTGCAATAAAATCAAACACATGAAATTCTTTTACAAAATACTAGGATATGAAAAACCATGAAATGCAGATAGAAAACTCTATAGTAAAAGGATAAGTTTTGATAATAACTAGATTCCAGGTAGACCTTTCAGAAACACAAATTGAATTCAAGGCATTCAAATAACGCGGTAAAAATTTGTAGCTTTTAAAAATTAAAAATGTTATGATGGGTTTTTTCACCAACTAAATCTTTTGCTGAAATCTCACAAATATTAAAATATAAATTTTGAAAGCAATTAAAAATTGGACAATCAATTAAAATATGTTTACTGGTTAATTAGTACTGCATTCAGCATATACTGGTTCAGTTTCGCTCATCAGTAGTTAGCCTTGTCACGCCAGGCTGCAAGTTAGCCTTGTGTGACTAATTCTTAGTTGGGTCAGAAGGACCTGCTCCTTTCGGTTTAGGTTACATTTCTAGTGTTTTATTTTAGGTTTTATATTTTGTAATTTCTTGGTTAACTGCGCATCACAAAGCTTCTGCCATTTCATCAAAATTTTTCTCCCAATCAGAATGTTTATATCTGAATCTGGGTGGGCTGGATGTCCCACAGGTGTATTTTGCAGCAATATCCGCCAATTCATCCCTTTTATATCAACACGACTTGGTACCCAGCAATAAAGGATATGGTAACCTTTGGCCTTGATGCTCATATTGAGCTTCAGCACTTCTACGATTAATGGATTTGTGTTTAGCACACTTAATGAATCTTTTTAAGTAATGAAATTTTTCCTATGTTGTTTACCTATGAAAGATAGAGCTAATCTTAAAGCAACAATCTCCGCAGTAAAGATAGTACAAGCAAGATGAAGTTTTCTTCCCTCAATAGTATTCTCGCACCAGAAGGCAGAGCCGATGTGATCCTGGGACTTAGATCCATCTGTATATAGTGCAACGTAGTGATTGAAAACTTGTTTATGTTCATGGAAAATCTGCTTCTACATGACATTACTGGTGTTATCTTAAGCTAAGTTGGAAAATATGTTTAGAAGCTCAATGTGTGCATCTTTCCAAAGTGGTATTTCCAAATACTTTACCGCTTGGACTTTCACCTTTTCCAAGTCATGTTCTTGCATCCACTGTCGGTGGCATAAATTAAAGGCAAGAATACAAAAAGGACACATGTAGTAGAGCAAATAGAACTGGCTATCACGCATTAGCGGTTGGCTGGATGATCAGGATGTGATACAGTTTTGAAGTAATATTGAAGAGTTGCTTATGCTTCAGCTGGAGTAAGTGGCTCGAAATGTTCTAAAAACAAACTCTGCACAGGAGATGTTCTGAAAGCTCCTGAACAAATTCTCAGGACTTGGTGGTGAACAAAATCAATCTTCTTTATCACAGAAGGCCATGCCAATCCATAGGCCACCAGTCTGTAATCAAGTTTGGAGCGAATAAGAGCTCTGTAAATTCGGAGCATGAAAGTTTTATCTGTATCCCAGGAGGTATTTGATAATACTTTCAAAATGTTTAAGTACTTTTTCCTTAAGTATGTGATATGGGAAAGAAAGGTGCATTTATTTTAACATTAAAAAGGGTTACACTTAGTACACAGCCCTATGGCACTCCCTCTTTTTGATAAAATGATTTAGACAGCACAGAACCCATTTTTAAGTGAAACAGCCTCTTTCATGAGATTCTGAATGAAAATTGAAAGTTTTCCGTGATAGCTTTCTAACTTTTCTTTCCCAAACTCATTTACTCAGTGTACTGGAGATGAGGCAAGAAACATACTTCTTCCATGAATCCCTCTGGCTCTGTCTCCAGATTTTCCATGTGTTTGCTTTAGTCTCATAAGCAATGAAATTTGCAGTGGTTGAATAGCAGCAAAACATGCTCCATGCTTTCCTTTGCTTCCGGTGTGTTTCTTGACATTCGGCATTCCACCAGTGTTTAGGATATTTTGTGTGCCCTGCTGATGACTGAAGTATAGAGATTTCAGCTGCTTGCCTAATAGTTTTGGTAATTTCTTCTACTTCATCATCAATCTTCTCATTTTGGACTATTTCTGTTGTCAGCACTGCTAGGAAAGAGAAATAATCCCAATCTGCTCTTCTAAAAATAAATTGTCGTGTTCTAGGAGTAGGACCTGCATTACCCCCACTAGTGAGACAATAAGTGGAAAATGGTGACTATTGTATAGATTCTTTTCAACATTGAATGAGTAACATGGTAAGAGAAAAGGCGAGCAAATTACTAAGTCAATGGCCAGGCCCACGCCTTTAATAGGTGCAGGGTCGAGCGGCGCAAGACGGTGCCGAGTCAAAAAGGCGGTGTGCACTCATTAAAACGAACAGTTCGTCTTCCTGCCTACCAACAGGAAAATTCTTGTCTTATATGAATGCATCCCCTCTGGGGGTCGACTCGGGTAAAACCTGGGAAGCTAGTGATTAGGATTTGAACCTGGACAGTCTCGGCCACAGGTGTTTAAAATCAGTCTTCAATAGACTGGAGTCATCGCTGGCGATGGCTGGTTCAGGCTTGACAGGGACCATATGGTACTGCCTTGTCCATTCCGTTGGTTGTGGTGGAGCTATATAGTCAGATATTCATGGTTATCCAATGTGAAAGACTTCTGTTGGTGGAGATGGCGGATTCAGCGAGCTTTTAAACTGCTTGAGGTTTCCAGTGGTTGCCTGGAGCCTCAAAACTGCATATTCATATCCGTCCTTTGTTTCTCCCTCGGGATGCCTAAAGTCCATATCTATATCAGGTCAGATTAGTGGCCTGGTCTGTCTAGCAGTGTTTAAGTGACTTCGTTCTGCTGTCTGGGGTTAGGCCCCTGTTGATGGCAGATGTCTTTACCATCCCTTCAGAACGGGGACGTGGAATGTGAGTTCCTGAGAATTTGTCGACTCAGCTTTGTCTTAGCTCATCGGCTCGACTGATAGGTTAGCAGCTTCTTGGATCGGCAGTTACATATTGTGTTAAACATACGTTAACCTTTTAATTCAGAAAAGCAACGAATTGAGCATAAATACTCGAAAACTGTGTATCTCTTGTGTTTGAACCATTTTCGTATCCTTGGCCGTGTAAATTACTAATATCTAAAACATTTTCTTGTTAAGTCTTTAATGATACTCGTGAGCTACACCTCCATGAGTGTGTTCGCTGTTCATCTTATCTCTCTTCACCATAGAGTATCTCCAAAGCTTTACCTCATATTCGGGTTTAAGGAAAGTTTCTTGAACCGCAAAACAGACAGAATGAAACTTATCAATCAAGACTTTTATGTCGACAAGACTCTGCTGAAAGTTACGACAAGATATTAGGGAAGCCATTGTGAATGTTTATTTTTCTGCAATTCTTCTTTCATTGTGCTTGGAAGAAGATGTTGAGGGAGTGTTAGATCCTCCTCAGTCTCCATGTCGTCTGAATCTAAAGACCAACAACTCATTCGATCTGGTGAGCTGCGATTTCCTTTTGACATCTTTGTTGGGATTGGCATCAGTTTTCTTTGCACTATGTGTTGTGGTTTCTATTGTTGTAGCTGAGGGTTTATGATTATAATTTGATTATTTGATGCTTTTGTTTGCATTGTGCTTGGAATTTTGAAGGGGGCACTTATAACAGTCTGGGTTCCTACAGAATTAGTTAATTTTTACCATATCCGTGTACAAGGTTTTCAATTTACACTAGCAGGTACAATGAAGTGCCTCCGGTTTGGATCTGAAGCAGAAGCCAAAGGAGTGTGTTAGGTCAGTACCTTGCTTCTCAACTACTAGGACCCTCCTTTCAATCTGCATGGGTCACAATGCACGGCAAACATGTAGGCGTTTTCTCTCCTTCAGAAACTAGAAACAAAGGGATGTAACAGCTTCTCACTTTGAGTCTCAACTTTCAAAAAGGAAAATCACAAGGAAGGAAAGAAAGGGAAAAGAAACAGATAAGGAGAGCTGAAAAGAAAGGAGGAGAGAACACTAGGGCTCCAGGACCCTGAACCCTGTCTCACCAGTAGGGTGATCCTTTGAACGGCTAGGGTGCCTCGGGATTGCCAACACTCATAGTCACAAAAGTGAGCCCTTTAGGGGTCTTTTATACAGTGGAGCGAATAAAGCCCCATGCTCATGTTCTTCCCATTAAAATTGTAATCTCCTTTTCTATTTTCACCTACCACTGGGGGAAGAATGTCCTTTGTATCAGAGAGGAGGAGAGGTTTCTGTTCCCTTTCTGAGGTCAGCACAAAGTTCTCACCTATGCAATTGAGAAGAAAAGAAGCATTACAATGTTATGCATCCTAAAATTGTAAGCAGTTGGAAAACATTTATCAAATACCTGTAAATTGGTGCTTAATCAGAACAACAAGTAAACAGTGAGTAAATTAAGACTTCATCATGGTTATACTGGAAAAAACTGCAGATTACTTTCCCCACTTAAATCATCATAGTAAGCTAAAATAATCTTCAATAATAATGCGTAAATAAATAAGCAGAATAATAGGTGCAAAAATCACAAAACTACTTAAGAAGTGGTATTACAATTTGCTTTTCATAGAATAACTTCATTAAGGAAGATAAATTGCAATAAATTCGAGTGA